CATTCTCCTCTAGGGACCTTGGGCATACATGCATATGCACTCTGTGTGAGTTTCACGCCGCTGGGTCTGGAAATCCCATGGTCAGCCATGTGGGAGACCAGTGTCTTAACCACTACATCATCTGCTAGCCTCCATTTTCTTCTTAATGGACCTTTGGCAGTCTGCAATTTTTTGTACTACATATATAAGACAATTCCAGTACTTGACTCTGATATATGTATGTGAGCTTCTCTGTGGCTCTTATCAGAAACCATAGTAAGAAACATATTTTGGGGTCGGCAGGTGGCATGGTGGTTAAAGGCACTGGACTCTCACATGGCCAACCATGGTTCAAGTCCTGAATCTGGTGGCTTGCTTTCTCATTTTCCCTCTCTCTCTGTCTGTCTGATCAAACTGGAAAGTAACAATAATAATAAATAAAGTTAAAATAATATAATTCTTTAAAGAAAAAAAAAGAAACATATTTTTACCAAGCACACAGTTTGCACATATATGCTCACACATATTTGTAAAAGTGAACAGCAGCCCAGTTGTGGTTACACACACTGCTAAGACACTGTGCTCTACAGGCTGAAGGGAGAGCCCAGGTTTGAATCCCAGTCCAACTCGAAGGCTGGACACTGAGTATTGTGAAACAATACTCAACCCTTTTGAATATATATTTTACAATGAACATTTTTTTCCTAAAGAATTATTTTATTTATTCATTCATTTATTTTAATTTGACCACAAAGAGACACAGAGAGAGGGAAAGGGAGAGCAAGCCACCAGGTTCAGGACTCGAACCATGGTTGGTCATGTGGGAGTGTCCAGCGTCTTAACCATCATGCTACCCACTGGTCCCATAATGAACGTCTTTTTAAAGAGTTCTCTTTTCGGGTCAGCAGGTGGCATGGAGGTTAAGGCAGCTAGATCCCCCATGGCCATTTTTTTTTTTTTTGAGAAGTTTTCGCTATAGGGCGCATATGCTCGCCAGACAGACAGAGAGAGACATAGAGACAGAAAGCGAGAAATCACCCTCCGGGGGGATGATCACGCTGCAATCCCTTCTCCTCCATTCTCCTCTCGGGATCTTGGGCACGCACGCACATGCGCCCGGCATGAGTTTTAAGCCACCGGGTCTGGGATGCGAACCGCAGTCGACTACGTGGAAGTCCAGTGACATAGCCATTACGCTAACTGCTGGTTTCCCTCCCCCCCACCATGGCCACTTTTGAGGTTCAAGTCTTGGATCCCGCGGCTTGAAAATCAATTCGCATGTGGGCAAGTGCTCAAAATCCCGAGAGGAAAATGTGGAAGGGATTGCAGTGTGGCCATCCCCGCTAGGCATGATTTCACTTTCTCTCTCTGCCTCTCTCCACAAGCACACACACCCCATAGTAAATGAAAGGATAAAAATTATAAATAAATAAAAAAAAGAGTTCTCTTTTCAACCCTTCTGAACCACTATTTACATTCATAAACCCTTGTCTCAATGGACAACATTGTGTTCCGGGAGGCCCTCAGTGCAGAGAAAGTGCTAGCTTATTAGGTTGCACCTTGGACTCCACAGAAGCTCACAGTGAATCTCAAGGAAATAAATTTCAACCTTTACCCTGTGGGAGGGACATTGCATGCCACCCTGCACGAATGTGTGTGTGTGTGTGTGTGTGTGTGTGTGTGCGCACATGCACGTGTGGGTGTCTAAGTCTGTCAATTCTAATATGAACTTGGGTGCTTACTAAAACTCCAGGAGAAATGCTTTGCCACATTCTTACCAGGCTTGAGCTTTGAAACGAATCTCAAAAATTAATTATTAAGGGAACCAGCAGTTAGCGTAATGGCTATGTCGCTGGATTCCCACGTAGTCGACCGCAGTTTGTGTCCCGGACCCGGTGGCTTAAAACTCACGCCGGGCGCATGTGTGTGCGTGCCCAAGATCCCGAGAGGAGAATGGAGGAGAAGGGATTGCGGCGTGACCATCCCCCTGGGGGGTGATTTCTCGCTTTCTGTCTCTATGTCTCTCTGTCTGTCTGGCAAGCGCACGCGCCCTACAGTGAAAATCTCTCCAAAAAAAAAATTAATTATTAAAACCTGTGGAAGAATTAAGTAGCTATCTAAGAAATATTAACAGCCAGAAATTTGCCTTAGCTCCCAATCTCCATTCTTGAATTCTTTAGCTGTGTCCAGCAGTAGAGGAAGCATGCAAGTATTTAGTGATTCTATTCCATAAATATTTACCGAGTACTACCGAGTACTACCGAGTACTCAGTTGTGTGCAGAGGATTAGGAAAATAGAGCGTGGTCCCTTTCCCTCCTGCTGCTCCACCCAGGAGAGGAGACAGACCCATAAACAAGACATTGTGTACAATGCTTGTAGAAATACAGACGCAATACTTCGAAAGCATAGAAGTACCTTCACTCACTGTGCCAGGAAGGATTAGAAAGGGATTCAGAATGAGGCTTACAGGATGATTAGGAGTCCCTAGACAAATAGGAGAAGGGAACAGTTCATGGGAAGTGGTGAAGGGATGAAATAGCACACAGAAGGTGGTGGCCAGCAGTGTGGGATGACTAATGCTCAGGATCTGTGAGAATGGGAGAGGATCATTTGAGAAGTTGGATTATCAGGTGTCTGGTTGAAGAATTTGAACCATATCCTACAGATAGGAAGAGGTCACTGAAAGATTTGCAGCGAAGGAATGATGTGATTCTGTTTGCATTTCAGAAGGATCTTTGACACAGGTGTGAGGAGGGGCTGGAGAAAGTGAAAGTGGAGGCTAGCAGCTGTTTCCAAAGCTTTTTAAATAAGCCAGGTGAAGGATACTGAGGCAGGGAACCAATGCTTTCTCTTTTTCTAGTTAGGGTTCTGTCTACCCCGCCACAATTCCTTCCTTCTTCTCTCCCTGCTTTCCCTCTTTCTCTCTTTCCTTTTCATTTTTAATTGTCAGAGGGTAGGTGCACTCACCAGAAAGAGACGGAGAGGTTGAAACCACCTCTAAATGGGATGTGGTCATGTTGCAATCCCGTCTCTGTTTCTCCATCCTGTCTGGATTTTGGGGCATGCACACACACGCCTGGCATGATTTTCAAGCCTCTGGGCCAGTATTTGAATCACGATCAGCCGTATGGGATCTGGCTCCCTTAACCACTAAGCTTATAGAGCCAGCCTATCCCTACAGAATTCCAGTGGCAGTGTGTACTAGTTTGTTCCATTGCTAATATTAGAAAAGACCTAAGTCTGGGTAACTTAGAAGAATATAAATTTATTTAGTTTATGGTTTGCAGATCCAAGGCTGAGGGACTGCTTTGACTTTGCTGAGGGTTTTCTTGCTGGCAGGTAACATGGCGGCAGGCTTCCTCGCATGACAGCTGACAAGAGCTTACACAGAGCAGAGGCTGCCTCTATTTCATTCCTCTTCCCATAAACCTACCAGTACTCAATCATGGGGGCCCCACAACTGATGCCTAATCACTCCCCAGAGGCCTTGCCTTTCAACACCATGATAGGATGAAGGGTCCACCCTCTCAGCACTGTTACAATGGCTTGCACGTGAACTTTGAGGAGACACATTCAATCCTAGCACAGTGCTCTCAGGGTGGGTGAGTGAAGGCCCTGTACAGGTTCTAAGATGACTGGCTAAAGAGCGAACAAGAAGGGGACTGGATGATTCATTCTCCCTTTCATACATTCTCTCATTGTTAATTCAGCCAGAGGCTACAGAACACCTTTTTCTATTAGAAATGTGAGATATACAGGTGACCACTGGGGGTGTGGGGGGGTGGGTGGGGAGGGGCTAAGGACTGGAGGGAAGGGAACAATTAGAGAAGGAAGAGGTGCTATGGAATT